TTTTCTAACTATAGTTTAGGGTTTAATTAATCAAAACAAATACTGAAATTACAGTATATTGATTCATCATTTTGAATAATTTATCAAGCAAAAGTGCTTACCATTCTCTTGCTACTTTTTAAATATATTATTGTCTGAATAACTCTGGGTTTTTGACTGTTAGTCGGACAAAACGAGTAAAGACGTCAGCTTGGGCTTTGGGAAAGTGTGACAAGCATTTTTCACTCTGCTGACATTTCATAGAATCAGTAAATGGAAAAAATAAAAATAAAACTTTATTTGCAGCCCTATCTTGGAATTTCTTTTATAATTTAGCATGTACTTTCCTGCACCAGGTCACATTCCTCGTAGGCATAAAAACCTACTTGGCAATAAACAAATTCTGATTTCCTTGTCATACGATACGATATTCAAGTGAAACAGTTTTTTTTTCTCACCATAACTTCTGTTTTCTCGTAAGTCTCAATGAACACAATGCAGGAAAAACTTCACAACTTCCTCGACCTCCCTTTTGCCCACTGAATGCTTTGCCACTCAACAGGCTGGCATGGGGCCTGACACTGCACCCTCTCCCCCTGGGGCCTGACATAATGGGTGGGAAGTGGAGGACATCTTGGTCTGTGTGTGTGTGTGTGTGTGTGTGTGTGTGTGTGTGTGTGTGTGTGTGTGTGTGTGTGTGTGTGTGTGTGTGTGTGTGTGTGTGTGTGTGTGTGTGTGTGTGTGTGTGTGTGTGTGTGTGTGTGTGTGTGTGTGTGTGTGTGTGTGTGTGTGTGTGTGTGTGTGTGTGTGTGTGTTTTAGGGCCCCAAACAACAAAGACAAGGCCTGCTATTGTTTAATTTGTATCCAGGAGAGGAAATGCCTCCACTCGTTTGGCTGCATTTCACTGCTACCATCTGTTTGACAAACCAAGGTGTAAAGCGATGACATATTGTGTTGCATCAAGGAAATTACTGGGGAAGTTTACAAAGAGGTTGCATTGACGGTATGTGAGGAATGCCATGGGTAGTTTTGTACAAACAGCTTTGAGGTATCCAAGAGGTTTTTTTTTATCAAGAACAGCATCTTGGTATGTTTTCCCTTCAGTGGGGGCCACCTGTGTTCTTGGAAGGATTAGTTTGGAAAAGGAAGGAGCAGGGATTAGATGGTGTTACTGGTGTAGTCTGGGAGTTTGAGCTACCCCCCAAAAAGCCAGCAGTTTTTTTTTTTTAAAAACAAGCTATTCAGCACACACAATGAGCAGAATTTTGGCTGGATGCAACCTTCATCAGCATGTCCCAGTTTCAGCTACCCACCACTCATGGTCTGATCTCCTTCCTGTTTCTGTTAGATGTGAATGAACATGAAGCAGGCATCATCTAAGTGTTGTTGAAAGCGTAGATCAAACACCCTCTTCTTTTGATCTCTGTGAAAGCATAAAAATCAGCTGTTAGAATAATTAGTCCATGCAAGGTCTTTTTATTTTTATGAATGTTAAATTGTTTGAATTAAAGCAAATTAATCACAGGGGGGAAATTAATCACGGGGGTGGGGGGAACCTCATTGAAATTGCGGATAGGATTTGATGATTATGTCCATGTCCTGAAACTGTCCTGTATCCTCTGCCTGTGCACTTAGTGGTGATTGTGTTTGGCTCCGACTAAAAGGAGACCAGACAGAGAAAAAAGAAAGAAAATGGACCGGAAAATGTAGGGCCCAGGGAGTGGAAAAGATGGGGTCCTTTACATTCTTTCCATACAGTCAATCTAAAATATTTGAGACTGAAGCCACAATTGATGGTTTTGCATATTTCTCCCTGTGAGGCTGCTTTTGAGTGGCGCTGTTTTATTCACAGTGATGTCACTGGAAGGGGAAAAAAGACACCTGCAACACTGCCACCTAGTGGTGACCTTCTAGCTGGATTTATTGGACACCTTGTGTCTGAGAAGGAAATTTCTTCCTTCCAGTCAACACAGTGAAAATTGATGCCTGTGTCGCTGCCGGGTGTTTTATTGACACTTTCTGCTTCGTCATATTTGGTTTAATCTCATTTGTGACTATAAGAAATGGATATTTGGAAACTTAACTAGGGAGTGACAGATAATACGCAGGAAGAGAGAAAAGGGGGTGAGGACCTTTTGTGGTTACCGAGTTACATTAGTGGTGGTGTTGCATTTACATGGTTTGCTTTAAAAGAAAATTCTTTCTATAGATGAGACCTGATTGTTTCTTTCTCTCTTCTTCTCTCCATGGAGAGACTAGTAATCATATTTTATGCTGTGTACTTTATTTTGTATTCTTTGGGTTATTAAAGTTAAACATTAAGTTTTAGGGTTTAAAAGTCCAGAGTTAACACTGGAACTACAATAGTTTAAGATCCATTTGAGGAAGGAATAACCTCACTGGTTAGTTTTTAGCATACAAAAACTCACATTTGATCAGTTGGAACTATGGAATCTTTGGCACTTTTGCTTGACTTGATCAGTTAATTTCAGCCCTACCCCTGCACAGTGATATACTACACATGCATACTTTGTAATAAAGACCTGATTAACATTTGCAGTTCAGCAGATGTTTGTATTATTAGTTGTCTTTGTGGTGGGTTAGGGTTAGTGGCATTTTCTTGCTCAATATCCAAAATGTACCCTGTACATTACTTCCAGGCTGTAGTTCCTCAGGTGCTCAGTAGGTGGCAGTATGTGTCTGAACATTGACTCTGTCTAACCATTGCTGTTGTTCCACTGACCACAGACACTTTGAACATAAGGATTTGGTTAGTGAGGATATCATTGTGTGATGTAACAGGGCCAGGCACCCCCGAGGACAATAAGAGTCTCTCTCTGGGTCCACTTCATAAAGGCCGAACCCAAATTTAAAAGAGACTTCAACCAACACCCAGTCATGTAGTTTCATAACAGTTTGGATATGAATTCATGGTTTGTACTAATGTGTCACATATTTGTTGACTATTAGATCTACATGGACATTTATAACAGGTGGTGAGAACAGATTGTGGTGTGGAAGTGTGGTGTTTTTTCACTTTGTTGTTTGTAATGAGAACTTCTGAATTTACCCTTTGAATTCAACTTTAATGCTGAGCAAATAGGCAGAGTGTTTTCTTTGTGTGTTGCTCATTTGCTAGCTGTTTCTCTGAATGTTGTTTACTATGCAAATTCAAGGTCACTGAGTTTCATGCATCCTATATAGGGGTTGATTTGTCTAAAAAATGACTCATAATCACTTATGTCAGACTTGGACTCACCCAGTTTTAAGTGACAGTTATTATATTGTGGTGGCTGTTTGTTGTGGTGCGTGAAGGCAGCAGTAGCTCAGTCTGTAGGGAACCGGAGGGTCGCCGGTTCAAGTCCAGCACAGACCACAGTATGGAGTGCGGACTGGTAGCTGGAGAAGTGCAAGTGCCACCTCCTGTGCGCTGCCGTGGTGCTCTTGAGCAAGGCACCTAACCCTTGTTAGTTTTTAACTTTTTATGAAACAGTCTCAATTTAATACTGATGGCTCTACATGATGTACATAATCAAACGAAACCATCAGCAAGAAGATTGGCTATTCCTGTATTGTTATTCTTAATGCCTACCACAGAGACAGTAGAAACACTACCGCTTTTGTCCACAGGGGCCGCCAGAATCAACACAAAATGAAAGTTCCTTGTTGCTGCTTTAGAATGGCTTATATTCACCAAAGAGAGGCTACCAACACTGGTGTGATTCTAGCACTTTCTCTTCTGCACACAGTGGGACACCAAACCAGCACAAAGTGTTATTTAGATTTGTGGTCAACATTTCATAAAATCTTCAATAAGCTTATGTTGCATCTCTCAGAAATATAGCCCAGAGACAGGGGTGGCCATTGTGTGTGGTTTCATATGTGTATATGTATATGTGTGTGTGTGTGTGTGTGTGTGTGTGTGTGTGTGTGTGTGTGTGTGTGTGTGTGTGTGTTTGTGTGTGTGTGTGTGTGTGTGTGTGTGTGTGTGTGTGTGTGTGTGTTGTGTGTCTGGCGGGGTTTTAACAGAGTCTCTGTTGTGCCCCTGCTCTGCTATCGCCACATCTACCTCCAGTTGCTGCCGACAAAGGCATCCCAGTAGCTGCAACCAGCACCGCAACACACATACACAGAGTCAGTGCCCCAGTGTGTACCATCAGACAGTGGAGTAGCTGTGCTGGCTGCCAGCTCCCAGAGAGGGCCACTTTGTTTCACCTCTGACTTGGATTCACGCCAAACAATCTGAGAGTCGCTCACTGGGTCACTTGATGAAGTAATTGAATGGGGAGTTTATAGTTGTGCAGTGTACTTCCTTTATTTTTCTCTGTGAGGTGCTTTATTGCTTTCTATTCCAATGCTCACTCGCACTAATCAATGTCACTGTCCTTGTAAAACGTCTTCTGTTGAATGAGTGGCTGTTTTGTCCACTGCAGAATGAATGTTCAGTGGTTTTTAAGCATCAGTGTTACTATATAATCATTACTTGTTGTTTGGGTGTGTTTTTGTTGACACCTTTTGCTCATTGGGATTGTGTAGAGTATTGAAACAATTAGTCAATTAAGTAGATAGTTGATCGACTGAAAATGGATCGACAATTCTGATAATCGATTCATCTTCAAATCATTTTTAAAAAAAAAAGAAAAACCTAACGTTCATTGGTTTCAGCCTCATAAATTTAAGTATTTGCTGCTACAGTGGGTTTATCAGAGGCATTTCACTGAAAACAGCTGCCTGCGGTGGCTGAAAAGATTTTGATGAGTGTGAGTGTGTTTGATGAGTGGTTAGAGTGAATCAAAACAGTTACACTAACAGTTGTGGGCCGTAAAACCAAAACGAGCTGAAAATTGCTTTAAAGCTCCGTAGAATTGAGGGAAACTTGAAAGTCTGTGATAATTATCTGTGTCGTTTTTCACGCAGTCATTTCATACATTGTTCATTTACCAAAATACGAGATTGTAGCAGCTTTAAAGCTCTAGCTCTAAGCGTTTGTGTCTAACAACACTTTTCCTGTCTTCCTCAGGACCTGGAGATCGTCTACTCTTATCTCCACGGGATGGAGGCCTTGTCCAACCTGCGAGAGCACCAGCTAAGGTCAGTGTCTGCACACATGCCTGCTGCTTAATTAACATAAGTCGGAGCTTGATATTCCAATCACATGAATTTCAAATGCTAATTAAATCACAGTGACAACTCCTCAGTGTCTGATCCATAACGGTTGTATTGAAGGGTGGAAAATTAACACCGAGCTGCCAGCAAAATGCTGGCGGAATTGGTCTATTTTTTTTAAATACAGCAGCAATTCTGCCCTACAGCCACTGGCTAACTCGCCATCCACTCGTTCCCTGGAATTATTTTACTCTCTAAAAAGCAAATCTGCCTGCTACAAAGTGACTGAAGTCTAGCCTTTATAATGACTGGCACACTTAAAAAAATTCTGTTTGGTCTAAAACACATTATTTTAAGCATGATTAATGTTTAAGTCAGTTTTTTTCACTCTTGTTGGGCATATTACTTTTCTAGATAACAAGGTGATAAAATCTGTCGGTTCTTGAAGGTGTGTACACATTAAAATGATATGAAATGTAACAACAATTCTTCTGAAAGAGGGATTTCAGCAATATCTTACTCCAAAATCCAAATCACTGTAGTAAGCTAATTTTTTTTTGGCGCAGAAATTCCAATGCGAAGTACTCGCACATTTAAAACATCCATGCTCTCATGAGTTGTTCACCGACAGGTGTGCCTTTCTTTCACACTGACCTCTGAATTCTCCAAAAGTTGTTGAAAGCAGGGTTTCTTTTTCTAATTCTTTGATTTGGCATTCACAGAGAGGGTTTGGTTTCGTCAGGAATTTTTCAAAGGGCTCTATTGTTGTTTCGGGGAACTTGACATGTGAAGAAATTGACACGTGCCCTCAGACCAAGTGCTGTTAAAGGGGAAGCATTCTGACTTTACCCATCACAGTCTGTTTACAGGTCTCGAAAAGTACTACTGTATTCATAAAGAAAGTTGTACAACGCCTTTTGTGGCTCCAGAGGGAGCTGCTTGAAATCTGATAAAGTGACTCAAGTGATGTCACTTGAGGCAGCGTGAGTTGGATCTGAAGAGACTACAAGTTCCAAAATGTAAAGAAATCTGGTGGTACAGAGTTAGAAAGATGTAAGCTTAGCAGAACTCTGCAGCCCGCTCCTCATCTCTACTCGAGGCTGGAGGCTGTAGTAGCCCGATTTTACTACTTTTTTTAAACTGTCCATCATGAGTCAGATAGTGTTATATGTGTACAATGCTAAACTGGTGGAGTATGAAGCGTGTATTCTCATGACAATCTCAAACTTGCCAATCTAACCTGATGAGAACATACTGCTCTGTTCTCCGTACATGATTTTGCCTCCTGCTCTCCTGTCACCACGTTAGCCTTCCAGTATTTTCTGTCTGCCATAGACTTTTCCAAACACTGCATGTCAGAAGTCTGTTCCCAGCATGCCTTGTGTGCATACATGTGGATTATACTGGCGGCGGAACAATGTAGCAGTACATGACCCATGAGCTGGAACATTCCACTGTGTGACCCCCTCAGAGGCCTCCCACCCCACAGTAACCCCTCTCCCTCCTCCCTGTTTGGATCCTGAGGAATGTCCCCGTGGTCCCACAGACCAAACCACCGCTCCTGCCAACTTTGGTTTTCCTAACTTGAAAAAAAAAAAAACTCCCAGCCAGCCAGACATCCCACTAACTATGGGATTATGTTATAGTTCTTTTCATTTCATCTGGGAGGAATGTGTTGTTTTTCTTCTGTAGTTCTTTTTCACAGCGGCTTGTTTTTTACAGCCGGGATTGTTTTTCGGTCGTTGTGCAATAGAGGCTGCAACACGGCGGCCGCCCCCAGCTATTTTTGAAGCCTTTCGTGTTTTAATCAGCTACTGTTTACTATCGTTGCATGTCTGTAATGTTGACGCGCACTTGTCTTCTCTGGAGGCGTCTTGGGGAAAGCCTGATATAGAAGACTTTTTTTTCTCACACAAAAAAAAACCAAAAACAGATTTGATTCCAAAATCGTATATCTGTGATTTGAGAAATATGACCCATTATTTACCCTTACAAAATAACTTTAAGTTCTTGGTTGAATAATGACAGTACTTTCATTTATCATTTTTTTAAATACTTCATGTTTAACAAATAATAAATCAAAACAACAGGAGCAGTGGGAGTACAAAGTGAGTCTGTGCCTAATTGAGGTTATGAAATTACTACAGTGCAGTAAGGTCAATCAATTGTCTAAACCCGGGCTCTGTAAATATTCATCTGACCTGGATTAATTATACTTGTTTTGGGAGGCGAGGCATAAACAGTCTTGTGGCTCTATGCTTAATTGTTCAAATCCCAAAGTGAACTTTAAAAAATCTCTCATTGTATTGTGAGTAGTCTACCATCCTTTCATAAGTGCGGTCATCAACCGCAAATGCCAAACAATGAAAGTGACAATGAATTTATAAAAAAATGTTTGGCAACAGTACCATAAAATATTCCAATTCAAATACAGTGAAACAAATGGCAAAAATGATACATGTCGAAAATAAAAACTAGGTGACAATGTAAAATTAGCCCAAATAAAAGCCAGATTAAAAAGATAGACTCATATAAGAAAGAAGGCAGTGGCAGATATAATACTTCTAGCTAGAACATAAATTAAGATTCTTTTTTTGGTCAGGAAAATCAATTGACCTTCTGCTCCAATAGACCAAAATACAATACAATAATACAGCCACTCCGACTCTCGGGCTCTACTGTTCAAGGATCAAGAAATTATTTATGCCGACATTGCCAATGTGAAGTCACTATTCTCCTCCTCAACCTAAGGTACAACCTTCATCGGTACTTCCAAACCTTTTTTTGTATGCACCCCATGGTCAGAAATGTATACGTGCCTCCAATGTAAATGGTGTGCCTCATTGTAGGCTCTTTTTATTTATTCACAAAATAAACCTTTAAAAAGCCTGAACTTAAAGTTTGATATGCCCATCCATTTATTTTCCAAAGTACAGCAAGACATACCTCTCAACCACCATCTTTTACCGACCTACCAACACATACAGTACTCCCAATTTTAATTATTATAAGCTACACACTCGCTGCCTGTCACTAGTCGCTAATCACTAGTTGTGGATTTAAAAATAAAATAAATGACAATATTTGATCTTAAAAAAACTCACAAACCACAAGTAGATGATATATGATTATGTTGTAGTATCAAGGGATGACATTTTGTTCTCAAAGGAGTCAGTACTTGAAGCTACACCCTTATTAAAGCGATATTCCCATTTATTTCTGTTTTATAACATTGCTCGCCAACCAAAGTTGATGCTTCCTCCTATTGTTTTCTGACTGTCACTCTCCTCTCCCTCTCTTCTCTGTCCCCGCAGGATAATGTGTGAGACGGTGCGTTATGAGAGACATGAGGCCAATGAAGTGCTATACTAGTAAGTACCACAATGCCTGGAACTGCATGGGTGTGGATGCCAGCATGGGAATGGATATTGATGATATAATATATATCTATATAAATAATATATAAATCTCTAGCAGGGACAACCAATGTGACAATATTTCAATTCTGTGCGATCAAAACACACTCTGGCCTGGGTTGTTATTCCGAGTTATTGATGAACTGAGGCACGCCGGGTCCACACAACGGAGCGACCCGGGTGACTTAAATGAAAACAAATGTCCATAAAGCACAGAAGCAGTCAGACGATGCCTTTTATGAAGGTGTGGGTGTACAGCGTTGCTGAAGACAAAGGACTTCTAGATTTCCAGTGTAATTTCAGCTTGATTCAATAAGTCAGCGTGTACTGAATCGACAGAGAAAAACTGAAGCTATAATAGCTCCTAAAAGCATTTCCTTCAAGGGGGAGAGAGCTAGCTAGTCACTAGTGGTAATGTTTATATGCTTCCTCCTTTCAGCTGGGTATAGTGGAGGGTTAATATGATCATAAAACTGTATTGACAGCTTCCTGGCGGCTTCTGAGTGTGTTTGGACCCATTTTGATACGCTGCCACAGCCGTAGTGGGTGGAGAGAGAGCATATAGTGTTTGACTGCTGTCACATGTCGACGCCTTCTGAACACCCATGGTGAGAATTAAGACAGTTGATTAACTCTATCAACCTCTCGAGGGGCTAGAGAAGGGCGCATTGTCCCTTCTCTGTATCCTCATCCCCCTGTGTGTGTGTGTGTGTGTGTGTGTGTGTGTGTGTGTGTGTGTGTGTGTGTGTGTGTGTGTGTGTGTGTGTGTGTGTGTGTGTGTGTGTGTGTGTGTTTGTGTTGGGGGATGATGAGGAAGAGTCAACACCCCATTAGAAGCCCACTCAGCAGCGTGGGAGCTGATTAAACAATAGGAATGCAGATTGCGCGGTGGTCGCATAAAAGACTCCAGTTTCAGCAAGATTCCCTCAGGTCCTCCATACCAGTAACTACACACACACACACACACACACACACACACACACACACACACACACACACACACACACACACCTAGCCTATAGCTGAGAATCTCACTTTGCATTTTTAGTAGTTTTGTTCACAACGAGCATTCTTGCTTGTTGTGAACAAATTCCTGTCCAAAATGTAAATCTGCAGAACAAGGAATAATACACAGCTGGCTGAATCTTAAAAAATGCACCTTTTTCTCTCAGTTTTGGTATCTGTCCACAGTAAGCCATGTTTATCATGTGGTAAAATAGAGCTTTACTAAAATACTCTCTAGAGTGGACGGATTTGAAAGCCAAAAAATAGAGCTTTTGCAAAACTATCATCTGCCCAGGCACAGTCGTGTAGTGGGTGTTTGCAAAGTCAAGAGGCCAACTTTCTGTCACCTCTGACCTACTCTATAATCACTCATTTCTAATGTCAATACAGCCGATCACACAATTTCAGATATAGACTGCTTAGTGTGGATGTAGTTTAAAACCCCACTGAGACCTGCATCCGCTGACACTCCTTCACAAACCCTCATCCTGTTGTGGATGCTGGTTGACTTTGGCATGAATGTGTTCATCGACGTTGGAAAATAACCATTTTTTAATTTAATGATTAGGGATGCACAGATGGGGACATTCTGGACCAATATCGATGTTAAAAACCAGTTTGACCGATAGCCAACATACCGATGATTTACTCACCCCTTTGTGCCAGGGAAACAAAGAAAGCTATAGAAGAACATTGACCACTGACATTGGTGAATGTCGATAGGACGATGTCAGTCAACAAGGCCAATATCGGCTGTCGATGTTTCAGCCGATTATATCAGCGCGTCCTTATAAATGATACTGATGCATAAACATCATTTAATGTACTTCCTTAAATGAGGGAAATAGAAAGCATGCAAATGAGAGAGGTAGCGTGGGTTTATGAACAGAATGAGATAAGTGGAACTGAAATGTGAATTTGATTTGGTAATTGGGAAGGAGATTTTGTGTGATTCTCTGGTTTGTCAGTGAAGTCTATTGATCTGCAGCTGCAGACTGGAGTCTCTGCTAACAGTTACAACCACAGATCAACCTGGGACAGCTGTCTCACATGAATGGAACCAGCTCGGGTTGAGCATGCGTTCAGTAGACCTGCATCGTATGCGTGCTTCCTATGTGAAAGGGGTATAAGAATGGAGGAGAGAAAGCAGTTGCCACACCTAACTGCCTGTACTTTGATAAATTACCGTAATTTAGTTCGAAACATAAAAACTCAGTAGGTTAGTGTCTTTTTGGTTTATTTAATTTGTGTTTAGGCATAGTTTCTAGTTGTCTTTGTATAAACATTTGTTTGCATGTGTTTCTGTACAAGTGCTTGCATGCTTTTGAAAGTCTTGTCAGGGCTCTTACTGATAAGAGCTGGGTGTTTAACACCAGCAGATCAGATAGACTTCTCCTCCTGCAAGATCTTAATCAACCTTCTCTTGTGAAAATGCAGGCTTTTAACAGCCCGTCTTAATTTCCTGGTCTGTTTATAACAACAGCAATAATCTGCTGGGGAGCGAGGGCTCTAAAAGTCAATGGGGGAATTTAATTGTGATAGTATCTTTTATTAAGTTGTAAAAAATGTATGGCCTGTGCATTGACACACACACTGTATCTCAGATGGTTGGAGAGAGTTCATTTTCTTAAAGGAAAAAGCCACCTTCAAATGTAAGATGCTTTTAGAAAAACTACGATGGCTTTTGATCAAAGGAAATTCAGTATAAATGTCAGGCTTTGGATTGAGTATCCATAAATGGCAGCGGGATTAGGACTTTCTATCTTAAATTTAACATTTGAATGTGCATTTACATGGAAAAGACACATTTTTTAAAAAACTTTTTTACGATTCCTCGTGTGATTTAAGTGAAGCAGCACCCAAAAGAACATTTGACATAAAATTAAATCCTGGCTACATATTTATTTTTCTACAAACACTCATAATGTTTGATAAAACCACATAGAGTCGCACAAATGACCTAGTTAATGACCCGCACATTCTCAATCTCACTCTGACTGTCCCTAACAGTTGGCAGTCCTAGAGTAATGATAGGAGGATAAGGGTAATAGTTATAAAAGTGCTCATTTTTCCTGCCTGGGGCTCTAGATTGCTAGAGTGCTAACACTACATGCACACACACACACACACACACACACACACACACACACACACACACACACACACACACAGTATCTCATGAAAACATCCCATACTGTGAGAGCCTGAACCTCTCAGGATTTACCATCCAGAGATTATAGTGCTAAAGCCCTCCTGAGATGGAGGCTGACCTGGCACATTTTACGGTGGCTGGTGAAGAGGGTTAGTAGCTTCTAGTTGGCCTTTGACCTCGTCCATGTCAGCTCTTTCAATGTAACCCTTGACCTTTGACTCTCATTGGTCTGTGTGGTCCAACTGGAAACTCAGTGCTTTTAATTCTGCAAAATTGTGTTTTGCTTTTGTTTTGTGAGAACTACGGGCATTCGATAGTGAAAGTATTACCCTGTCAAACTGATGCCAGGAGAGATAAACAAAAACATTTATCTTACAACCATCACTGCAACAATTAGGTGTGGCAATACATGTTGTTTGAACAAACCAGTTGTCCTTTATTTTACTTGATGGTCATTACAATTTTTTTAGATATAGAAAAGTAGCATTGGTTAAAACGAATGACAACGCTAAAGAAGTTTGCAGACTGTGATATTTTAACTGTCTGGCTGAGGTTCAGAGTGAGCGACGCTCCCGTGCAGCTGTCGGAAAGTTGTCCCCCTCATTCAGCTCCTATTCCTTGTGACACTGCTGGCCACCGTCGCAGGAGGGTAGATGAGGAAAGTCAGTGGGGAATGGAAATTGAAAAACTCATCACATCCCAATGACCAGTCGGCATATATAATTATACATTCCAGTACGTGCAGTATGGACAGTTCTGACATGGAGACATTAGTCATTTGACAAGTATCTGCAATGGCGGCATATTCAGTTTGGTAAAAATGAAAGAAGAAAACAGTATGTGCAGCGATGTGGTCTGGAGCATTCAACCATAGTTGGAGCTTTTTAATAAGGTCCAGCAGAAAGCAGTGAGATCTCATCACCTCCAGAGCATGTCTTAATTGATTTTAAGTTTAAGACAGCTTCCAAGCAGAGTATGTTGGTGTGGTAAAACAATCTGCTGGTCAGACATCTTTCATTGTATTTCAATCTTGAACATGAACCAGCCCCCTCCCACCCCCTCTCTTGATCATTTGTTAGCTTTAGATTTTTTTGGGGAAAAAAAACAACAACAACAATTTGCGTTTAGGACAGTTGGATAATAATAATAATAATAATAATAATAATAATAATAATAAGAATTTTATTTATGAGCGCTTTTCTAAATACTCAAAGACACTTTACATAAAAACATAAAAGCAGCAAAACAACATCAAATAGTAAAACATTAGGATGATTGCTAAAGTGGTATGAATGCATTATTTCATAATGTCACCACACTATTGTGCCACTGGGAGTCTCTTGAGACTCCCATGATGAAAACATCACAACAATAACAACTTAAAATGGTCATATATTTAGTTGCTTGTTGATACTGGGACACTGAATGGGCTTGTCAAACACACCTCTTCTGTGTTGAAACTGCTGTCGATCCTGTCAGTCCTGAACCCTGTCCAAGCCCCAAGGCAAATGATTATATCCTGTTAAAAGTAGAAATGTAAACGTTTTAATTGAATTTCTGAGCATACCTAACAGCTTTGTGAAAGCTAAATGCGTTGGCAGCCAAATGGGTTCTTCCAACAGGGTCACTTCTTTCTTGAATAAAACTCTTGATTTCGTACATGTAGACCCAAGTCTCAATGCCATAATCACCCTTCCCGTGTCATTTTACCCCCTTCCAGCACCTCCATGGCACTTGTATATCCTGATCCCCGCTGATCAAGGCTTCCTGGGGGGTTTCAGTGGATGATGTTTAGCATTTGACGATCGCTTCCAGTACGCGTGACCCAGTTCAGTCAAGCTGTCGCGGCGCATAAGAGTCTCCTATCTCCTACTTTTTTGGTGTAGTATCTTCTCTTCCTCCTCCTCCTCGTCTTCCTCAGCCTATATGAGCCTCTCCACTCGCTCGGTGCGGCTGCATGCCAGCAATTAATAATTGATCATTTAATTCGTGTCATCTCTGAATGCAAGGAAGAACCATAAAAGGATGGCAAGAGCCTGGAGGGAGGGTGGAGATCAGTAGAAGGAAAAGGAGAATGGATGCTGTTGGAGGGAGCGAGGGAGATTTTGCACTGTGTCAGTAGAGTGTGCTGTCTACAGCCTCATTAGTTGTGCAAGGAAAGTGTGGAGGAGAGGAGGAGGAGGAACGGAGGGTGAGACTTTGTTCTCAGTGATTAGAGTAAAAAAACTCGGTCAGCACAGCGATGCTGGGTGTAAATATGTGTCTGTGGGGGTGGGTGTACAGTAAGAGCACCCATCCTTTCCCTTTCTGTAAGCAAAAACCAGTCCCACTCTGCTGATTTCTAGTCATTGATTTAGTTTTTCTTTCACCGCTGGTTCAATTAAAAAGTCTCACCCAGACCAGGTGAAAATGTTCAGCGATAATCACACAAGCTGCTGCCTTATTAACACCAAAGCACCTTGGAGTACAAGGTTTGGTTTCTGCTTGACGAGCAGAGGTTCTTTTTCTGTGAAGAGGTGGCGTTTCAAAGTGCAGACTGGTAAACAGACAGATGGAAGCTTCACACGGAGAAACATCCTTTTGAATTTCCATTGCAGTGCATTCATAGCAAAGATAATTACAGGTTTTCGCACCTGCAGGTGAAGCTTAACAGTAATAGCTGAACTGATACAGACTGATAATAAAATAGATTTTTTTTTATTTCAAGATTTTTACAATCATGTTATTACTGTTCCTCTATGGTTTTAAAGATTCATTCAGTTCCATAATTCAGGTCATAACCATATATTCAGGTGATTATAGATTAATAAAAACATAGTTATGCATATTATATTCAAAGAACCTTTCTAAGTGTTACACATTGGTATCAATCTTCATCTAAGTCAAATATTTACACACTTGAGATATCTGTTTTGTTTGAAAAGCAGGGATGCTGAAATAAGCAAGAAAAGCACCAAACTCAGACCGTTAATCATAACATCTAGTAAAATAACCATTTTTGCAGTAATAATGCAGGGTTGGTTAAGAATCATCAGAGCAAAATGAAAGCAGTGTTTGTTCACTGACATGCCTATTTTCGTCCACCACTGCCGAAACTTCAGTTTTGATGTCAAATTCCCAGCACCGGAGAACGATGGTATCAGTGTTACGTGTCATGAGAATACTTCCTTCAGTGGATTTCTACTTCCTCTTTACGGTCAGAAGACTGTGAGGTGACATGTTTAATGACTGACTGTCAAACAAGGATTTTTATTTATTTTTTAACCAGAATTAATCTCAAATAAAAGTAAAAGCATACACTACTGATTTTTTTTCAAGAATCCAGGTAAAGATGAGACTCAATAGTAGCGCTGTCGGCTTCTCTCTGATATTTGAACTGACCATGCACAAAGACTGCATATGTTATGTTTGTCCTTTGATCCCTTTGGTCAGTCGCATGTGGATAAAAGCAAGCATTAACTCTCTTATCCATCTCCATAGCATTTATTTACATTCTCCGTACATTAGCATACACGGCCCCTTTGATAATCCTGCATGTACTGAGCGTAGAAGATTCAGTGTATCTCAGCCTCATGAGATTATCTCTTTGAAATCCCTCTGGTAGCAAAGGAAGCAAAAGTGATGCAAAAAAGTCCTTTAAGTCCTTTATTAACACAGGTAGACTGAATTAATTTCATATTTAGTGAGTTGTTTATCTGAGGGCAGACTCTCCTCAGTAGAATCTTTGATGTCCCTTAATGAGGCATCTGGTTCGCTGGTAATGACACATAACAGGTAAAACTTGAAAGTGTCTATAATTTAAATTAAATGGCCAAAAGGGGTGTGTGTGTGTGTGTGTGTGTGTGTGTGTGTGTGTGTGTGTGTGTGTGTGTGTGTGTGTGTGTGTGTGTGTGTGTGTGTGTGTGTGTGTGTGTGTGTGTGTGTGTGTGTGTGTGTGTGTGTGTGTGTGTGTGTGTGATGTTGTAAGAACTTGTCAGCCAGCTGCATCATCCAGGGGTCAGTCTGAGTTTACTTCGTCTGCAATGCCCGGTTTCCTTGTCTGTGTGTTTCAGCAGGGATGTGGGTGGATAAGACATTATTCCTCAGTTCATTCATAGTTCTTTCTCTCTAACACTCTCCACTCTCTCTATCTTGTGTGTTCTCCTTTTTACTGTCTTTTATTTTAAAAACAGTGATCTACATTTGGCACACTGAGCAGTCTCACATTGCTTTAGATTGCAGCACCATTCAGATCAGGCAAATGAGAAAACACATCAATGAGAGTCAGGATCCAGCAATTGATCTTTATTATTAAATCCGTTGATGATTTTCCAGATGAATTGATAAATTGTTTGGTCCAGAAAATATCAAACAATAGTGAATATCCCAGTACCCAAGTTGATGCCCATTTTATTTCAGGTTTTGTCTGACTGACGAACCAAAACCTAAAGATATTCAGTTTACAATCACAGAGGGCCAATTCCAGCATACACTTATTATCAAAATGGTTGATTGATTTTCTGGCTATTGACTAATTAAATAATGGACTAATTGGTTGAGCTCTAAAAAAAGAGGACATAAAATTTGAGTTTGCTTACGTTTCTTCAGCGGGGCCTGAAGAGCTTGTTTCCAATACCAATGTAGTAATTCCAAGAAAATAATACCTGAAGGTGATCATTTAGTAATGTTATGTTAGTAATAAATAAAAAAAAAACGGTGTTGGACTTTTGTAACATTTATTTTGAAATGTAATATACTTGTAATAGAGTGGTTTTTGCTTTAAAATAGCAGAATTTGTGTGTTTTTATATTTGAACGTCTCATATAATTTGCATGTATAATTTGTGCTAACTGCTTCTCTTTCTGTCTTGCAGTCCTGATGACATTGGAAGCTGCTGGTACATCCTGTTGTCTGGCTCTGTCTTCATCAAGGAGTCCATGTTTCTGCCCAGAAGCAGGTAAGATCATCAGCCATTTTGGTTCAGGCCGCTGTCTGAAGGCTTGATCTTGGCACTAATATGCGAGCAGCTTCCTCACTTCAAAGCCTATTTAGAACAGTCACAAAGGGGGATAAAAATCTAATCCTGGACTGTCAAGAGAGAGCCAGTTTTAATTTATACAATCTCAAAGTTTGTTGCCCTTCTTATCAACTTGCTCTTATCCGGAGGAGTAAACAGGAGCGATTCCTTTAACAGTAATTGGCTTTTTAAACATTGTTTGCAGAATATCTCCTTAAGGTTACAAAGGACACCTCTGCTTGTTGTATTTCTCAGAAGGAACAGTTTAAACCTAATAATTGCTTTATCTGTCACAAAAATAGATTTTATTTATGTTGTCACTGAAGATAATCCCTCAAATGTGACCACTGCTGCCAACTCTGGGATTTTGCAGCAGTATTTTCCAAAAAGTAACAGATTTCTCATTTTCTTCTAACCACTGAATAAATTGTGAATGTGTTCACATGTCAACTAATTGGCAGCAAATTGGTATGCATGATTTCAATTTGCACTATATATGTATAATCCAAAAAGACCTGATATTCCAGTGCTTCACGTACACAGTGTAGTTGCCAAGAGGGATGCTGGGCTGCCTGACACTTTATTGCAAGGCGCCAGAGATATCATCAACATAACTTTCCTGCAATTCTAGAGAAACAATGCATTTGCAGCAGGGTCTCTCTTCTGCTTTCTGCTTTCCAAGGATAAGTCCTGAGCTAAAGGAAGACAGTATAAAATGCACACTAATATTACAAAAAGACACATAAAAGTTTTATAAAATAAAAAAACAAGTACAGTCTTTCTGTGCTTACTTTCTGTAACACCATAAACAGAATTACAAAATGCTCAAACAAAAAGACTTTAGCTCCAAAATGTAGAAATATTACCCTCTACACTTCACACTAGTTTAAAGTAGCTTAGCTTCACATATATAGCTAAAACACCCAAACTAAAGAAGCAAAGAAAATATATACGTATACGTATATTCCAAGGAAAGGTCCATAATGAAAAGATGTAGTAAAGCAAGGGGAACTGCAGCACGCCCAGTTGGTAAAATATCTTTAACACTAAACTTTTTATTAAACCACAGAACATTTTCCTTTAAGCATATATTATGTTGACAAACATATAAAACACCTCAACTGACCTCTACCCTTCAAAAGTTGTATCAGTTATCTCAAAGGAAAAATTATTTGAAATATATGAAGAAAGAAGAGTGGTAGAAAGCGGGGCTGTCACCAGAGCCCACCCCCATGATGGATAATAATTATCTACGACACCTTCAGAGGACTTAAGATTCATGTTCTGCTCTCCAGCTCTCAGCCATCAGCTCACAGCAGTGATCACCACCTCTTAAGCCAAGACTCAAATGTTAAAAAGCTGTGATTTCACAAGTGGATCTGTTACATGAACCATCTCTGTGGGCGTCTTGAAAACAATGATCTTTTCATCCATCAGGCTTGCATAACACACACCTACGACCACTCAGAGCACCAGGCCACCACTTTAGCCCATGGAGCAGAACTGTCCCAGCAGTGCTGTGGGGGTTGGCGGTCATTCTCTGGATTCACATGAACGTGGGAGGCATTTAAAACGGAAGACCCAATCGGACATGTGCCATAAAGCTGCCCCCCTCTTAAATATAACCTTTTCAGTTTTGACAAGGTGAAAGCGTGTGAATGGGATACTGGAGGGGGATTTGCAGGTATTGACAGATTAAAGTTAATGCCTGACTGCAGTCACAGGGGAAAAGAGGGCTCTGAAAATGTTTAGTAAGCATATGTTGCAAGGAAGCCTGTTAGGGCTCCACTCTACTGCATGAGAATGTATAAGGTTGACTCACTTTGTTTAGAGTGATACCAACTGCACTGACTGTCTTGTTTCTGTCAACTGCACTAAATTAATACATACAAGGCTTTGTGCCTTATATGCACATTTTAAATCACAATTTAAAGGTGAAGAATCTATCTTGGGAACAGTCTTAAAGAGCAAAGCAACAGCTATAACTACACACTGTAAAACTGACACAGAAACAACATGACCTCTGAATGTATGTGGTCATATTTATTGATCTGGCAAAGGCTTTTGACTCTGTGGACAATCACATTTTGCTTCATAGGCTCAGAGATATTGGACTCACTGAGAGAATGTCTGGCATTGTTCAACAGCTACCTCTCTGATCGTATACAAACTGTGAGAGCTTAGGGTCTCATGTTAGACCCACTATCCCTGTCCATGGGTGTCCCTCAGGGTTCCATTCTAGGTCCAAACCTCTTCACAATATCCATAGATAATGTTGTTCAGGCTGCAGGCCATTCTCACATCCACTTTTATGCTGACAATACCTTCTTGAACACACCCAGCCCCTCCCTGGACACTGCCCTGTCTTCCCTCCAACTCAGCTTCAGCAGCCCCGTTAATATCACCTCCTTGGATGGTTCAGAACTTGAGCTTGTCACCTCCTACAAATACCTGAGTATCTGGTTCGACAGTTCCCTCTCTTTTCAAACACACACCAACACCCTGTTCTCCAAAGTCAAGGCAAAAATCTGTTTCCTCTGCCTCCGAATCTCTTTTCAATAAACTGGACGCCATTTACCATACCACCATCCGCTCTGTCACAGGTGCCCGTTTCAGTACTTATCATTGCCACTTGTACTCTCTAGTCAACTGTCCATCAATCCACACCAGGCGTCAAATCCGCTGGTACCAGTTAATTTATAAAATCACCCCACTGTATCCCTGTTCTCTACTCAGCATTTCTAACTGTAACCACAATTTGCTTCCTAGCAAATTCATTACTCTGGACAACCCGCAAGTCTGTACCTCTTTTTGCTGTCACTCTTTTTAGTCTGCCACTCCCAGTGACTGGAACCAGTTGCAAAAGCTGCTAAATTGCTAAATAAATATCTTATTTCATTATCCTCCTTCAATGACTCATGCAACACATGATTAGTTTGATCATTGCATCTACTTTCAAATCTATTTCTATGGAACACAGCACTTTGATCTCTGTGGTGTACATATTGTGCTGTTTTAACTTTGTTTAACTGTTTTACTTGTTGTAAAGGATTGCCTCTTGCTGCTGCGGTCGTCATTGTATATGAGAATTGGTTCTCAATTGACTTATCTGGTTAAATAAAGGTAAAATAAAATATCAGTCAGTAGCCTATTTGACCTGCAATAATTCACTCAAACACAGAAGTTTGGAGACTGACAACCAATCGTTTCATTTGTCATTTTTCTGGTATTGACAGTTTCTATGCAAGCAATCTCTTGCAATCATATGAATATCAACTGCCCTCACTCCGAAGCAGAGGTGGAGGTAACGTGATGTTATATCGTGCATGGTTGGATACACAAACTTCACATCCAACATAGAGGAGTATGTCAACAACATACAGCTTGCAAATATAAAGGAGTGAAGTGGAGTACTATCAGCAAAATCATGTTAAAGAAGGGCTTGATGAAATGACTTGATAAGTCAGCAGCTTGATTTAAAAAAAAAAAAAAAAACGTACACATTTACCAGTATAAAGATAACACTTATCAAAAACTGACTTATCAGTTAGTTGTTATGTCCCATAACAGATTCCGGACTGTGTGCTGATTGGTTGGTTGAGCATCTGGCATGTTGTCATGTGTGGTTGCATGTATAATTAATTCATATCTATGAGATTCAGACATTTTTTATTCTTAATATTGCTAATTTGATAAATTATTTGTATTATTAGCACTTATTACAGTCTTAGCTCCTACCACAGCCCCTGGAGTATGGCTGTCATATTAAAAACATAATTTTAGTGGAGAAATGAACCAAGACCTTACCCAGTGACAATTGTGACTATTTAAAGCGACACGCTATATTCTATATAAATTCTTTGGTAAGTTGTAAGACTGGAAATCATCGGACGTCACTGGAGGATGCATGACTGCCACCCTTCCTATTAAACAGTGTCAGTGTTGTCACTGGGTGTTTAAATATTGAATGCTTGTTTAGGTGCTGTGGGATTTCCTCAATAGCTCAGTCCTATTAAAACCTGAACAGTTGTTTTGTTATTCAAACTACCAGATATCACTTTGTTTACAATATTTTTCACACCTTTTTTCCTTCGGACTTGAAATTTTTGTCATTGAAATTCTTTTAATGGCCATAGCGACAAAGAAGAAACAAAGGGGAGAATGGTTAAAGGGCTAAATGGCTCAGAGAGGAAATTGGCTGTGACACAAGGAACTGAATGGAGTCCAGCGGGACTTCCTGAAGCTTTTAAGGATGTGGTGGAATTGGGTTTCAGACAAGCCCTGCCCAGAAATGGCTGCTCATATCTATACTGGTAGCAAGGTTGAAAACCTGATATGCATTCATCATTCCCTCAGTTCTTCTCTCTCTCTGCTCCCCTCCTCTTGCTGGTCGCTGTAGTGAGATGTGATCCAGTGGAAGAGAAATGACTCAGTCATTAAGTGAAAGAAGCTTGAGGTCTGTGCCTTATTTAACCCACAGGGCAGTATGGAATCAAATACAACCCAAATAAATAAAACAAAAAATAAGCAGGTGATGGACAGATTTCAAACATGTATGAAACATATGCTATATAATGTCGGTTGGGCCATTATCAAGCTGTGAAAGTGTAGTCTGCTCTTGGGATGTGTTAAATTTATGTAAAAGTTAGATTTTCTACATTTAAACATTTGATTTGAGTTGTTGCTGGTGATGGTGGCTGAATTTTCTTTTGGAAAAGCTGCAAATGTTATTAGAGTTATTTATAGATAGATGTTTAGATGTGTTTATGCTGCAACTCTCTGCTTTCTGCAACTCTGCAACTTTTTTTAAGCAATGGACAGAACTCTTAAAATATACAGAATACACAAACACTTGAAATTTGGCCAGTCTTGTAAATAATAGCTGTCTTATTAGCCTTTCCCACCCAAACAGCAACATTTATGAGTGAATTAATTTTCAA